GGTATTATTTCGCAGCATCACAATGGCTCTCTTTCAAATATGATACGTCATGGAAATTTTCTTTGAAATCTGTGTACATTGCTGAAACGATGGGGTCATCATCAAAATTAATGAGAAAGTCTTTTGGTATTTGTGTTGGAATATGATTATGATAACATGGTTTTCACAATATGTGTAATCATGTGTGAATGTACACCATAACATTGGTGTACTGATATACATACGATTGTAGTGAAATAAGTTAATTAATTATTAAAGGAAATAATATAATTATTTATTTAATTAATTAATTATAAAGGGATATGAACAGTTGTATTCCAACATGAAAAGTTATCTCTAAAAGAATACAACTCCTCCAAAAATGTTATTTCCATCTCTATATATTTGTCAAATCTTTTTCTATCAGATTCATTCAATTTCATACTCACTCTCAATTCATATCCTTCACACCATATTGTGATCGATAGTCTAACAACATCTGTTTCCGATCCTGTGAATACCCAATTTCTATCAATTTGAACCTAAGAACTTTCTTCATCACTTGAACAAATAAATTCAGCAATTTGACCTTCTTAAGTTGCAAAAATCCAACTTGCAAAATGAGCCAATTCGAATTTCTTCCGATTATTCAAACTTGTTTTTGAAAGCCTCATGTTTTCTTTAAAGAGAAAAAGAGTTAAATAAGGCCAAAGATAAGAACTTGTCAATGAAACTTTAACAATTTCTGCCTTGCTTCCGTTCGGAACAACATAGAGAATTTGCCTAAAATCACCTCCGAATAGAATTAGCTTTCCTCCGAATGGCAAATTATCTAAATTTTGTTTTGACCCTTTAAGAGTATCTCGAGAAGACCTATTCAGTGTTTCAAAACATTGTTTATTGGTCCCTCATTCCAAAATATAAGAGATGCATCACTAATTAATTTTGCAAGATTAGTTCTATTTTTTTTTTCCACAAACTGAACAATCAGTAACATTAATAGGAATTTTAAACCTAGAGTGTGCAGTATTTCCATCAAAAAGCAACATGGAAGCAATTTCAGACGAAGTGATTGCTAAAACAATACTGTTTTATGATCTAATTTTAGCCATGATGGTGGTCCAAAAAAAATTTCATCAAAACTGTGTACAAAAAACAAAGCAGCCTCTTTGTTTTTCATCGCTTGAATAACACTATCGTAAACAATTTTTTTGCTTACTATTCATCTGTGTGACCATGAGTGAATGTTGCTCCTTAAGCAATTCAATGTCATAATTTAACTTTTTTGTAAAGTTTTTGTTTTTAAGTCTGTCCATGAACTATCTGTTTAACTTGAGGGAGATGATGCTTAGACAAACAATTTTTCTAACTCATACAAAAAGAGAATTTCTAACTTCCTCTTCACACTTAAAGATGTCATGTAACCCAAAAGCATTAAGTGTTCTACTTGTAATGTCATCAAACATGGTTTTTCGATGGGTTTCAGATAAAGCGGGTAGGTCAGCGACACTGCAAAAAGGAACTAACATTACAAAAGACTGTCTTAATTAGAATGATGAGGTAGTGAGGACAGCTTCTAACATTGCATTGTTCCACTCCTTATCATCCCCTAACAAACCAAGCATGTTGCATGCAACCTAAAATGTGGGTCGAAGAACACCTTTAATTGTTTTTAAATGATCAAAGCCCAATGCGCCTTTTTGGTAATTGAGTAACATTTTCATAGTACAATTCACCTAGGCATCTGCCCATCTTCCTAAGCCTCCACCCTTTTTCATCGCTATTCCAAACATATTTGGAAGGGATTTCAACATAACACAATTCAGATGCATTAAAATCCTGAACATATATTTCAAACCATTTTGTTAACAATGTGTTTTCAAGATTAGGTTGGTTAAGGACATGACTTATATTATCATCCTCTTGAAAAACAACATTTTAGTTGGAAGGAAGGTGCACACACAATCTTTTCAATAGTGAGTTCTCTAAAATGAATATGAAATTGTAACATTCTTCAAACCGCTTCATACGTACACAACTATCTACAATTAAGATAAACAACAACTTCATCAAACTTTTGATCCTCAAAATAGCCTAGCCTTATCTATGCCTTTGGTTATGTATTTGAAAAGATATTTAACGAGCATTATTGATAGAGTGACTCAACATTTATATGAGCTTGATACTTCAATAACAACTCCTGATTTTAAAGATAACAAACACATTATCAAAATTAACTCCATTCTTTAGAACATTTTTTTCCCTATGTCTGTACGTAACAAAACCATCAAAGTCAAAAGTGATTTCATATGCAAAAACTTTAGAAAAATTCTTTCACACATTTTTTATCTTTCATGCAAGGTTATTCTTTATTTGCAAAACCGCACTGACCATGGATCATGAACTGTGTAACATCATATCTAGACTAGGTCGAATTCCTAATCAAGAATCTTAGCTGAAATGATTGAATCCACATCAAAAGGAGAATGAAACTTATACTTCTTACTGACCTAAAACCAAAATGTGACAATGAGGTAGGCCTTTTTTTTTTTACACTTCACTGTGTAAATTACTATTGTAAAATGAACAACACACAAACATCAAATGAGTGTTTCATCTTTATGTGTTGAAAACAAAACAAACTTAAGTAGAGAACTGGACAAAGTCAGCTCACTAACCAGATTCAATCTTGCCAAAAGGTTTTCTAGATTTTATATAGCTAACCATATGATCAAGTTTTGTTTTAAAAATTATTGAAATTATATTCAGTCTATACTCAGCCTTACATCTAGGTCGGTGACCTAGATCTTCAACAATTTTTAGGCTATTTGACATTGCAAGTAAAAGTGATGAACAGATCAGGTATATCTAACGCTACTCGTAAATGAAGTCGACAAGATAATCCACTTACTAACGTCTGATCCACTTGCACTTCCTTTTCTTAGCATCTCACGAATTCCCATAAGACACTCGATTGTTAAGGAACTTTGATTCGCTCTAATGAATTCATGTCTATGTTCTTCAAGTGTGGCATATGCATCGATTAAATAGGGTTGAAACAATCTACCACCTTTTAATAGGGTGTTATCATGACCCACCTTATCTTGGATTTAATAACCTAGAAATGCTATCATAGATACCCCTTCAATTTTTTATTTTTTGCTTCTAATATTTAGATTCCAATGCAGACCCTTCCTATAGTCGTTTTCACCAAATAGGGAAAAGATAAGATACTGGAAAGCCCATATTTAGAATGTAACCTTGTTAACCTTTGCAGCGCAACCATCCTATACTCTACAACAATCTCTCTCAGTGTGAAATTGGCCCATGTCCCCCACTATTAACCCTCTAATCCTGTACACGTTGGCAGATTATACTGCGTGTCACAATTGTTTTAGGCACTGAGCAAACGTAGCCGCAAAGAATCTACCAACCCTTCATTAACCCTATCCCTTGCCACCCTAAATAATTGAACTAACTCGTTACACTCATCCAACATTTTAATAAGGCCATCAACTATTTGCTCGTCAGGTTTTGGAGAAGTTTTTTAATGAGAAAAAAAACTCAACCGATTGTTCATCTCATTCTGACAATCTGAGTGTCATAAGTGTACAATTGGGCAAATTTAGGACTCTCATCTTCAAGAGACAAAACAAAACCCATCAAATGATTCACTTCACCACTGACAATTTCAATTTAACATGCATTAGAAATGAATCATTTAACGGTCATATCGTTTAACCCTAACCCTTAACAAAGAAAATCAAGTTTCTTGGAAGTTTGACTTGTTTGGCATTTTGTGAAATTACAAAAAAAAAAAAAAAAAAAAAGCGCAGAAAAACAAATGCTCTTCAATCAATCCCTCAAATTACTCAGTTGAAGAAGTTGGGTATGTTGCATTTTTCTCAAAAATTGTTTACTTTTTGGTATGAATGCAGGAAATCTTAATTTGCTGGAAAAAAAAAGATCAATTGATTTGCTAATCCAAGCACGTACATGAAATGAAACACACATTATATACAAATAGTTAAACGTGTAATGTTTTTCATTACGTTTCTGAAAGGCTCCTAATGAAAAACTCTTAATCAAATAAGTGCAAGTGTACAACAATAAAAATGTAGGGTAAGTCAACAAAACCTATAATGCTAATTCCCAAGTCGGCAACACGTTTCCTGCAAACCAAAAATAATGTTAAAATTTCACATAAGAAATTCAAAATTTTTGTTAATATAATTATTTTCTTTGTAGTAATGTTTTGAAGTTGTCTTTCCTACATAAGACAACTTCAAAACATTACTGTAAAGAAAATAATTATATTAACAAAAAAATTTGAACTTCTTATGGGAAGTAATAAATTATGAAATATTAGCACTATGATTAACTTCTTATGTGAAGTATTAATAACTAAGTATATATTCAGTTTACAAAAAAAAAGTTTTATAATTAAGTGGAATTTGTAATATCAAAACCAAAAAGCACATAGGAAGACCAAAACCAAATAACACTAAGTACCACTGCACACCACAGATTGGCCAAAAAACACATAAGATCAGGGAAATTTGCAACTTCAAAACCAAATAGCAAAAAATTGTCAAAAATTTGAGTCACTCCCTCACACTAAATAGCGTAGTAAGTTCAAACTTGAAAAAAAATTGAAGGCCAAATGCCAAAATTTGACAAAAACAAAGAAAAATGTCTAATTCCATTTAAAGAATCATAGAAACACAAACAAAATTTTGAAGAACTGACTCCACTCTTAAATCAACCAAAAATATAAAACCAATGCAAAATGACAAAAAAAATATCATTGATTGTTCATGATCCCAAAACCTTAAACCCAATATAATCCAACTCTAAAAATCTAATACACAATACAAAATGACAAAGAAAATAGGTCACTAATTTGTTCATGATCCCTAAACCCTAAGTAGAAAAAAAAACAGTATGAATGTGTGTAACAACCAGATCATTTTCAACCTGAAGTAGAAAAAAAAAAGACAGTATGAAAAATAATTGAATTTGAGCCTAAGTGTGTGTAACAATCAAATCATTGATCATCATGGCTCATTGAAATCGCAAAGATAATTATATGTCATCATAAGCCTCAATTTCACCAAAAAACCCTAGCTTTGCAAGATAGGATAAAACAAATCCTACCAAAAACCCTAAAATTTGAAGAATATGATAAAACAAATTTATGGGTTGTTGATAAAAAAAAACCTAAAAGATGAGATGGGTATTATTTGAAAAGCAATTTTTTTTTCTTTTTTTTTTTGGAAATTGATTGGGAAAAGAAAAACATAAGAGATGGAGAAGGTGTGACAACAACAAAACCTGTATTGATGTTTAGAAAAGAACAACAACAACAAAATATGTTACATGTAATTGAGTTGCAAAAGAACAAAAACAAAACAATGTACCATCATTCCAAAAATTTAAATGTAGAAGAAAAATAGAAGGAGAACCTCATATTCAAAAAAATTATCCACATATCTTCCTCTAACATTCGTACCTAATGAACAAATTATGAAAGCATCGATTGATTTAGATCAATTAATTTCACTAACTTTGGAAGAATGAACATAGGGAAACTCGAATTAAGGAAAATGAAAATGATAGAGCAAACAAATTTATAGACCTTGTGAACCCCTTAATTCACTAAAAAGGACAACCATGCTCTCCGACAGTAGATAGGAGATTTGAAAATTGACAGAAAGAATTTAAAAATAACCTGCCATAGAAAACCCAATTGAAGATTGGTACTTATCTTCTAAATGAGGACATGCAGAGCCATGATAGACAAAGAAGAGGAAATCTCATAAAGGCAGACCTTACTTGCTCCTGTTCACCACCCTCACCCCTTCCTCTGTGTTTTAAACCCTAAAATCCTGATTGCCCTTATCTTTTTCTCTCACTATCACAATCCAACCCACCAAATTAAAGATCCGCATGAACTGGCCTCACTCCTCCCTCTAAAGGTGTGCAAACAGGTAGAGGAATCGCGGATCGGGGTGGGTACACGTCGGTTTCATTTTTTTTAGAGAATAAACGGGGCGGGGCGATGTCATTTAAGAGGTGGGCCGGGTCCATATACTTAGAAAAAGGGAGCTCTGGACCGATCTGTTTCTTATTGTAATGAACACATGAGATTGAATGATGAACTATCATCCAATCTCAACCAGAATCCCAGTACACTCCATCCGTCCCTCCCACCCACACTCACTCGCCTTATCCTCCTCGACGACATCAAAATCATTGCACATCCCATAGAAATCACCCAAAACAACGACACTTGACATGCCCCAACCTAGATATCCAAATAACACCTGGATGGCACGTGCTGGCCAACACTCGAGAGTAACGAAAGCCATGAATATATAAATATGCAAGAACATAAGGAAACATGTAATCCAAAAGTCATATAACAAACAACAATCATAAGGAATATGCCAACGCTAAGAGACAATAATAATATTCTGAATTAAACATGAGTGAAACAAAATGTCCAACGGTCACAAATCCGGAAAAAAGAAAAAAAAAAGAAAAAAAAAGGGTGCATGGATATGTCTAGAGCATACCACTAAACGGAAGTACTAGTGAAAGGTAAGCATCAAGTTACAATTATTCATAAAGAAGCCATAGGCAAGTAGAATAATGTAAGTTCACTGGTAGGGAAATGCCTCAAAGCTCGGGTCATATTCCTTGTCACTAGGCCCTAAAGGGGGTGCAAAAACAAAAGGTGAGTGGACCATACTATGAAAACCTATTTCTTTCTGAACATACTAACCTCCTGTTTTGAAAACACATATAATACTACGTAATAGATTTTTCTAAAAACTCTACATGTTATAAAACGTTTGTACGATAAAATCATCTATAAAAGTGATAACGAACGCCAGAGGGCAAATCCCAAGAATCTCATAAATCAAATCAATGATGTACTCAACTAGGAGTATCATAATCGCTCGAAGGCATAACCATCACCCGAAGATGAAGCTGTACGACACTGGATTACGCCATGGAAGAACTATGGTAGGTCCTATCACATGAAGGTGAAGCTTTACGACTTTGGGTAACACTAGAGAAGAAAAATATATACATACACTGACACTAGCCATGGCTAGTAAAGCTATCCAACATTGGTTTCGCCAATCAAGCTGGGAGTATGTAATAAATATCTAACTGCCCCTTAACTGTGTCATATGGCCATAGATGTATACATACGCAGGTTGTGTGTATGTGTTGTATGATTACCCACTAGATAAGACTATAAAACGTATCTCAAACACTCATACCAATCTTAGAATTCAAAACCTCATCATCCGAAATCATAAGAATTTCCATAAATGTGATTTCTATAAATAAACCATAAATATTTCATGAAAGAAATTTAAATAAATCATAAATTCTCTATAAACCATAAATAGAAATCTGTAAAACATAATATACAACATTCTCAATTCATGAAATATGAAATGCATGCAAGCCTAATGTTTTATAAAAACATGCAATTTGAGAAGGGGTCCACTCATAAATATTCCGCTACCGGGGAGCCGTTCAAACTAGGGCGGACGAGATCACTTCCAACCGACGCATCTAAACACAAATAGAGACCATTTGATAAAACTTCATTAAAACGATCGAATTTGGGAAAATGGACAGTGGATTCGAATTCAACACGTTGAAAAACCTACGAAGGGACCTCAGGTTCCCCCACGCGCCGCCATGGTGTGGCAGCCTGGTCACCATGCACCGCCACGCTCCAAGATGGGTCGTGGAAAAATTCACCTCTGCCGCCGTGGATGGCGGCAGAGCTCAATGCCTTCGGCGGTGGCGCGTGCACCCCACGCTATTTTGAATGTCTCAGATTTAATGTAATCTCCTTCAGTGGTGCATGAGCTTTTTTCTCCAAAGTTGCTTCCTTAAACATCCCTATTTCCTAAAAAAAACCCAAAACATATCATATTAAGCATCAACACTATTAATACTTACTAAAGAAATTGGTCACAACAGGTTTCACATACATCAGTTCTAAACCTAAAAGGCTTCAGATTTGTAGGCTTTGGTTTCCTATACTTCTCCCCATGAGCATTGCTAGCAACAGATGTGGAGTTTTCTTTATGAATCTTATCTGCTTGATTGACCTGCATCATTGTTCAAGCGTTAACAGGCATAAAAAACCGTAAGGGAGAAATGAACAAACATAAACACTATATAGATACATTATTCTCATATACTTTGTAGCCTTTTCCAAGGCCTAGAATTATACAACTATTTTTTTTCCACTAATAGCTCTTATTTACATCTTTATTGGATTTGCATCACTTCTTTTATATTAATAAAATTAGAGGATTGCACATGCTTCTTTTTGGATGCCAAAACATTTTTTTTTTCAATTATTCTAGTTCCTTGTGGTTGAATGGGATTCTAAGCTTCAGATTTCAAAAAACGGAGAGTTTCGAAAAACCTCAGGGCTAGCACTAATGAGCTTAAACAGAACATATGAGAGCTAATGAGATAGAGCTAAGCTACTTCACCACTTCCATAAGTCCACGTCTCCACCTAAGCCTAGACATCCCAACATTGCCCAAATAAGTGCCCATCTTGACCTGCAAGATTTACATAGAATTGCAAAATTGGAAGAGATTTAAGCATGAACAGATTGTAAAACGCAAAACTTTATAGCTACAAATTGGGTTGCAAGCGAGCACTAACCATCATGAATAAAAAGTGGGTACACAAAATTGCCAAGAGATAAACTTGTTTCTTGAAACGCAGCTATGAGTGACGATGATCAATCTCTCCATTTTTTACACAATTAAACTTGAGCCTATGCATAACCAAGGTTTGGAATCCTACTGAAATCAGGAATAGGCCCTTGTAAGTTGCAGTTCCTCAACCTCCTGAAAGAAACAACAAAAACATAAAGATATTCAATCTTGACATGATTCGTCGTGTTAAATATTAAGAGCTACTTCTCGATTGTCATTCCAAACAACCAACACCATCATTGAATATGATATAACATCAGATAGAAACGGGAGATGTTCCCTGCACAATGGTTGGAAATATGTGTTTCCCAACAAAAACTATGATTCTCTCTATTGTTGCTATGATTAATCACAAATCTTTTGGATTTACACCTCCGTAATTGGAGCTTTAAATCTGATGTATGAATAAATAGAGATTCTAGTCCTTAGATCACACAATTTTACCTTTAAACTTACTAAAAGACATAGAATCAAAAGTAGCACTTACAACTTGAACAGTTTAGACATGTTGCTATATGAATCTGGAATTGTAGTCCCACCAAAGTTGTTGTTGTCAACTTGACTGCAAAACAAGTAAGATTATAGATAAGAAACTTGATACGGGATTGCATCCGTAGAAAAGGAAAGTCTAGAGAATTGTTCCCATTCAAGAAAGGAAAGGATGAAAAAATAATTAAGGCACAAATTTATGTTCCAAAGTAAGAAAACATACAACATTAATAAGCTTGGCAACTCTGAGAACTCTGGCAGAAGATACCCAGATAAGTTGTTGTTGTTGTCAAGAAGACTGTAAAAAGGTATTGGTCTGTAATGTGATTTGTTTTCTTTTTCAGTGGACATCTGATTAGAGTTAGAGTTTTTCTTCTTTTTTTACTTCACGTTATAATATAGGGGTTGATCTATGACATCTACCAACTGATAATATATGCATGCTCTAACCCAACAATAAAATAAGAACATACAGTGTAGTGAGCTACAGAGCCACCATACTGTTGCGCAAGAGCATCTCCCATGCTCTGGTACATATCTATTCGAGCTACAACAACAATGCTATCAAGATTGCACAACAATAATTATTTGAATATTACAAAGAAAACAAACAAACAAAAGAGGAGAAATATTTGACGACCAAACAATCGTCAATTTCTTCAGCCATTAAATAAACCTTTTTCGACTGTTTAAGTTCACAATCAAAAAAGTAAACACTTCATAGAGTTTTAGGCAACAATAATTCTCTAAACACACCAGAAAAAAAACCGACATAAACCCAGACTTCTCTCCCCACAGGCAGCAACTCCTCTCAGAGTTTGAAACGTTAAAATCCATAGGAACCC